CTAAATCAAAACTAATTTCATCACAGTTTAGAGTCACCCTTGGCCTAATGAAATCAAGAATAAAATTTTTAGCATCTGTTATTTTTTGGTAACAAAAGTTGTTTAAACAATGTGATAAGAGGCTAGTTTTAACAAAAAGACAATGGCGAAATCTAAAAATATTAGATATTATAGAATCAGTTTATTAAAGTTATTTATATGTTAATGTTATAAAAAAAGTCTTCGAATATTATTTAGGGCAGTGGAAGCTCGATGAATGCAAAACTCTTTGCAATATCGCTTAACCGTCGCACGTACAAGGGGGGCAAGGGTGAATGCCATCCCCCAATAAGGTTTTTTCAAAATTTTGAAAAGACGATTTACTCTAAGGAGCTGAAACTTTCAGTAGCTGTTTATTCATCCTTCACGAATATTTTGATACGTCAATTGTGTGTCCATCATTTTTGACGTTTCCATGGCAACTGCTAGTTTCATGTGGGTTTGACCAAAAATCTTTTTTGACATAATTCTGTATTTTTTCCAGTTTTCTTCATCAAATTCCAGAAATTCACCAATTTGTACATTTCATAAGTATTCTGGCTTGATTTTGTATTAATTTCCGTTCTTTTTTGACTTTTTAAGAAAAAAGTAAAATTCAAGCTGGCGGATCCAAGGTAGCGGGTCAAATGATGTTATTTGACATCATATGACGTCACAACCAATGATTATGGCATCATTTTGTAGACCAAGCGCAGGGCTATCTAATCGATGTAAATTTGTTTCGCTGTGCTTTAACAGAACGAAAACCCAAGGGGATTCCATTCACTTTCCCCTTGTACCACAGTGGGGTAAGAGTTAGCTTGTACGTCCGCGGGTTAAATAACAGTGCAAAACACCTAAATTCTATTCGTACAATCTAAATGTGGGAATGAACGGCCGTGATTTTTAAATTATAAAACATTGACTAGTTAGATGAGAGTTTTTCTCGGCGTATCTTGCTTTTTAGATTACTCTTGACACCCTGCTCAATCATTATAGGTCATTAATACTTGCTCTTGCAATTGATTATTGTCAACTCTTACTTTACATTCGGCATACAAACTCATCAATGCTGAGAAGTATTCTTTGCTGAAACTATTGTTTGCCCCCATTCCGAGCTCAAAAAACCCTTGAGATATTGATTTTGCTGCATCAGGCACGCAAGTAAATCTTGGTAAACACGTATATAATACTTGAACTATAAGATTGACCTTCAGCTAGCGTTTTTCTTCTGAAAGTTCCTATATTGAGTTAACCGCAGATAACTTTTATACCTCAAAGATGTTAGCACAAAATATGATAAATAATCGCATATCTGCGAGTAAGAAGATGTGTGAAAAAAACTGCAATTCTGAGAAAAAATTGAGCCTTGAGAAGATCTAGTAGCTGAAATTATCTGAAAAACCTAGGGTCCNTATCTGCGAGTAAGAAGATGTGTGAAAAAAACTGCAATTCTGAGAAAAAATTGAGCCTTGAGAAGATCTAGTAGCTGAAATTATCTGAAAAACCTAGGGTCCAAGCGAGCACACATAACAACATACATGGCACCAGTGCCTTAGGTTTAGCAAGGTTTGGCCCTGGTTGAACTTTTTGAATTTTTCTAGGCACTCATGAAGCTTGAGTGACTCTTGGCTATCGTTTTCTTTTCTGCTCAGTAACCTCCTGTGTACATCTGTAGCTCCATAGCGCTGTGAAATAAGTAATTTTTTTTTTCTGGTCACAAGACTGTGTTGCATTTTCTGCATGGTGGATGGTAAAGTAGCTGGGAAGTAGTACTGTTTTCCTACTGCAAGCCTGGTCAAGATCTCCTCTGCTTAATCTTGAGAAGGACTCAGATCAGCCTGGTGCATGGTGAGTTGGCCACTTCTGTACATCACAGACAACCTGCAGAAGTACTGGGCTATTTGGTCTGTAGCAAGCTACTCTTCTCTGCTGGACATTTTCCTGCCACTGCCGTCTTGCAGAGTCTCATCTTACTGCACTCATCCACTACATTTTCGCCCTGTCTCCTCACATTCCAGGGATGTTCTTTTCACTATCTCAGAAAAGCGGGTTCCTCAGACCCATCCCTTTGAGATTTCTCATGTGGATCATGATCACTAAAGGATGTTTGGGATTTCAACCCATTTTATGTTGACGCTGTCTGTGCCGTTTCTTTCTCTAACCTCATTAGGTGTTTACCCGCTGATCCATGTGTTTCTGCAGACTGCAAAATACTGGTATGTTTTTGTGAATCCCTCCTCAGGGTAGGAGGAATACACTCACGTATCTTTGACAACTTGGGACTCTTCCTCAATAGATTGCGAGGTCCTAGACCATAGTTAATTGAGGGAAATGGTTATGAAGCCCGGCAAACATCAAAGGAGCAAACAAAGATGCCAAGATTTGTGTTGGAAGGTCCACACTGACGGCAATGTACAATCTTTTTTTGGTTCTTGTTCCCATGCTTTTGAAGTTATATCCACAATGTTCATTTTTATATCAATTAAGATTTACTTGCCGGCTGATGCAGAAGGTAAAAAAAAGTCAAAGATGTTTTTGAAATGGATATTCATTGGGTGAGCTCAAGAGTTAATAAATGTGGGCAAACAATAATTTCAGCGAATAATACTTGTCAGGATTGATGAGTTTGTATGCTGACTGTAAAGTAATAGTTGACAATAATCAATTGCAACATCAAGCATGTGACCCGTCCCGGCCAGATCAAGTATTAATGACCTGTAATGATCGAGCAGGATTTCAAGAGTAATCTAAAAAGTAAGATATTCCCAGAAAAATTCTCATCTAACCAGTCAATGTTTTAGAATTTTAATATCATGGCCATTCATTCCCATATTTAGATTTTACGAATAGAATTAAGGTGTTTTGCACTGTTATTTTAACCCGC